GGAAAAAGGGGATTCAAGCAGGAGAATGTTGTGAATTAAGAAATCATATCGTTTCAATTTATCTTCTTAGTGAAGCTAGGTAGGACTCGTAGATTGAAATAAACATATTTTCATGCAAAAAACCCACCTTTATGGCTTCGCAATTACCACGAGCAGAGGCGCGATGAAGCGGTGTGAAACCATCGGCTGCACGATAGTCCAAATGTGCTCCGCCGGCGACCAGGGCCAGAATCATCTCGCGAGGCCTTTCAGCCTGAACGGCCAGAGTCAAAGGCGTTTCTGATGGGAAAAGCATAATTTTGGCATGGTAGAGAGGAAGAAAATTAGAAAGAAGAATGTAGGAGGGATGTGGGTCGCTTACGAAGCAATGGGATGCAATTTAGTCATTAAATTGGGGTTAGTGGTGTACAAGAAAGGCTGGGTGTGTCCTTTGAAATGGAGCTTAGCAAATGAACAAGTGGCAAGGAGTCTAAAACCCTAACATCTTTATGCCCTTAACATCATTATAAAAAGTTCAACAAGCGCCAGTCCATTTTCCCCTCGAAGTGGATTTCAGCAATAATACCTTATAACGCTCCTTTCCTGAAAACAGTGCCACTTCACATAAATCAGATTTGCTTAAACTAAATCTGAACGTGTTATGAAGGGAAACTAACCTTTTACAAAGAGTTATTTTTGCATCCCTATGGGCCGATACCCCGTGCGGGGTTCGAGAGTTCACTCAATAAATGCAGAATAAAAGTGTATATATGGAGAAAAACTGGGTTTCTAAAATAGGATACTATCACCATACCACTCCAAAAGGACGAACTCACTGCTGCAGAAAAACAGGGTCCCAAACAAAGTAAAGGACAAGGAACCACCTTGGAAAGAAGCTTAATAAGTGAGTAAGTCTCGATCTCAGCCAGTGAACATTTTTGATAAATATTTAAATTTAATAAATATGTTTTTCGAGAAAACCAGTGAACCTGTTATAAGAGCTGTGTTCACCTAATTTCATTTAAGGTGATGTGGACTTGTAATTTAATTTTCCCACAATCATATGAGTAGGCTTTATGTATCCAGTGGTTTTCACATAGCCTTGCTTCCCAAATGGTAGTCTCGTCTTGACACGTAAACCGCCGCGTAACACAACCACGAGTGCCCTTTGATCACGGAGCAGATGCGAATTACAAGGAAGGCCAAGCAGTTTTACATACCACATTCTGTAGTATGATTATCGATGAATCTAGAGGTGCTGATGAGATCTGAGCGAGGTCGAAACCATAGTCCACTCTGGATTATAATACCTTTTGGCAAGCAAGGCTATGCGAAACTTAGTGGGCACCTAGGGCTTTCACACATGATTGTGGGAAAATTCACCAGAATTGCTGCAAAATAATGCTTTAGTGTGTAAAATTGAATGCGCCTTAATTGTATGAATAGATCAGGTAGAAAACTTGAG